TCCCTTAAGCTGTGACTTGAGGAAGTTGACAGGACTACGGCTAGGAATCCTTTTCAGGAAATTCATTAGATGTTATTCTGATTAAAATTAACTAAATGAAATTAAGAAATCCCACAAGAAAAGCTTCTTAGATTGGAGCTCTCTTCAGCACCATCCGTCCCTTAAATGTACATGAAAACACATGTGTTATTTCTCCATGATTTTTTAACAGTGACAAAGCCTAGTTAGATTTTATAAAGCAGAGCTTCTTTGACCACAATGACTAGTGTCAGTTTTTCAGCTGCAGACTTGTATAGTATAGACATACTAGGAATATGAATTATATAAGCTTAATGTTACATAATATAGTCACATCACATGAATTAATATTGTTTAAATTAGAATTAGCGTGGTGACTCAGACATTATTATTTTAACAATAATATTTTTAGTAGTTTTAAAAATTATTCTGTAACAATATTAAAATTTTTAAATTCTTTGCTTTTCTATTATGTCGTGAATTTAGTTAATATATAGCCAGGCATAGCTAATTTAGTGCTATGTTTTAAAATCACATTCTCAGGTGTATATATGAAATAGAGCATCTGATAAAGTGCCAAAAAAAGTGAACAATTGTCATATTGAATACAACTTTTAATTTCTATTAATTTTAGAAATGCTAAGAAAAATTTTTTAAGATTTATTTACTTATGCTTACAAGAACTGGGGTATAGGCCAGAGGTGTGGGAAGTAAGAGGATTCACCAGAGACAGCGTGGGAAGCAGAACAGGCAGCTTGACTGAAATACATTGCTGAGGGGAGCAGTGGATAAGACAGGAGAGTTCTTTGTCACCATGTGGCTCAGCTCCCTGGGCAGGGATCCAACTTGTGCTGTGGACAGCTTCATAGTGCTGCATTTTTAATCCATTGAACCATCAGGGAGAGTCCATTAAGAAATTATTTTAGGCCCTCCCTGGTGACGCAGCGGGTTAAAGCACAGCACTGAGAATCTAAAGCCGCTTCCACATGAGTTCGATTCCCGCCTGCCCCGGCGGTGACCACATGGCGTGGCAGACCTCTCCTGACCCGCCCGCTGCTCCCTTCAGCAGTGTACTTCGTCGATCTGCCTGTTCTGCTCCCCACTCTGTCTCTGGTGAAGCCTCTCACCACCCCTGAGCCTCTGGCCTGCACCCCAGTTCTGTATGCACAAATAAATAAATCTTTAAAAAAAAAAAAGATTATTTTAAAGCACATACAATACCTGAAAATACAAAAAAATGTGGTATTTGTTGATTTGTGTACTCTTATTTGCCTCATGTTTTACATTAAAATATGTGTATATTAAATTTTTACTTTATAGTTTTTATTTTTATTTGATAGTTAATTTTTAGACAAAGTAATATTGGTTCTGCAAGGTTTATATCAAGCAAAGTCTTCGGGATGCTTTCCTAAAGCATCCTCTAAATCTGATTTCTAAAATATGAACTTGTATGTTTTTTCATATCCTTTGTATATTTGAAATACACTCTGAGTGACTGAAATTCTTTATCTGGAAAATGAAGAAATTTAATAACAAACAGTAAAAAATAAATGACCTTCCTCTTCAGCTTTGATTTTGACTTTGTTTCTGAAGGACTTTGTTCGAAGATAGATTTGCTAGTTCTAACATTTTCTAGCCCTTCAGCAAAGTAGTTTTAGTAAAGGAAAGAGTAAGTCCGTAAAACTGACTTCATTTATCTTTAGACTATTGTTCTCAGCTCCATAGTTTGTGTAATGTATTTTTCCCCCACTTTTGATTTAGTTCCATGAGAAGATTAATCAGGTGTGTCCCAATGTACTTTATTATGAGACCTATAAATTACTAAGATTTGAACTAAGGTGCCAGTCTTGTATAATCTACTCTGCTGTAAGAAGCATGAGGCCAGGATTGTAGTCATATTCTTCATTCATCAGAAGTCTGGACTGCAAAGATTATTTCTCTGTGGCATAATCTCTAGGAATAGTCTCTTAAGTTAACTAAAAATGCCTGTATAAATGCATTGAGCATTATATTTTTATATCATGTTTGGCCATTTTTGAATGTTTATTGTTAGAGAAACTGAATTTTTGTGTTAATTTTGTAGCCTGTTCATTTCCTAAATGTGTTCTAAAAATTTTGTATGTTTATGTGTGCATAACCTTTGGTGTTCCTGCATATAAAATTAAGTTCTCTGTGAACAAGATAAGTTTACTCCTGTCTTTCTAATATGGTTTGCCTTTTACTTTTTTTTATCAATTGCTCTGACTAGAAACTCTAATACTGTGTTGAATAGAAATATTAAAAGTCATCTTCCTTGTTCTGGTTACAAATGTTTGAAGTAGACCTCTCAGTTTGTCATCATTGATTATGATGTTAATGGTGAGTTTTTATATGGCCTTTATTATGTTAAGCTATTTTTTTTTCTTCACTTCCTAATTTGTTGGATGATTTTATTATGAGAGGATATTGAGTATCATCGAGTGCTTTTTCTGATCACTTGAGATTATCATGTGTGGTGTTTTTTTTCCTTCTGCTAATGTGATAAATTATATCAAGAGTTTTTACTTATTGAGCTATCTATGCATTCTAGGAATAAATCCCACTTGGTCATGGCTTTAATATGCTTTTAACATGGTTTTAATATTTTTAATATGCTGCTAAATTGGTTTTCTAATATTTTGTTGAAGATTTTTATATCAATATTCATAAGAAATATTGGCCTGTAATGTTCTTGTGAGGTTTCTGATTTTAATTTAAGGGTAAACTGGCCTTACACAAGATTTTGTGTTTGGCTCTTCTTAAGTTTTTTTGAAGCAGTTTGTGAACTGTTGCAATTAATTCTTTGAGCCTTTGGCAGAATTAAGTAGTAAAGCCAGCTGGATCTGGACTTTTCTTTGATTTTTTTTTAAAGATTTATTTATTAATTCATATAGAACTGGGGTACAGGCCAGAGATGCGGAGGATGAGAGGATTCACCAGAGACAGAGTGGGGAGCAGAACAGGCAGATCGACGAAGTACACTGCTGAGGGGAGCAGCGGGCGGGCCAGGAGAGGTCTGCCTCGCCATGTGGACTCCTCAGGGGCAGGCGGGAATGGAACTCATGAGGAAGTGGCTTAAGCTTCGTAGTGCAGTGCTTTAACCAACTGCGCCACCAGGGAGGGCCCTCTTTGATTTTGATTAACAATTTAACCCTTCAGTTAGGCCTATCAGATTATCCACTTCTTCTTGAATCAGTTACAGTAGTTCATGTTTTTCTAGGATTTCATCAGTACTAGCAGATATGTAGCAGTAGTTCATCATGGCTTTAGTTTATATTTCCATGACTAATAATGATGTGTAACAGCTTTACAAAATATTTGATCAAGTTTTTGCCAACTTTTCAGTTAGATTGTTTCCCTTATTATTAAGTTGTGAGATTTCTCTATAAGGTCTGGACAAGAGAGATTGATTTATACATGTACATTTAGTGGTTTTAGTCTTTCTTTTAAGTCTGTGATCTATTTTGAATTAACTTTTGTGGATACTGTGTAGTAAAGTTCATCTTCTTTTCTATAGGTCTTATTTATACATTGAACATGCTGTTTTTTCTTCATTGTCGGTAATAATTTGGCCTAAAACAAATTACCTTTGTAAATGTAGGGATTTTCTGATAATGTCAAAATTTGGGGACACATATTAGTTGGTGTAGATATATTTATAATTGTATCACCCTGCTGTAGTGACCTTTTCCTTAGTAGGAAATGTTGTTCTTTAGGCTTAGCAATCTGCTTTTTTTTTAAAGTTCAATTTGTCCTGTATTAACATAATTTTTCCATTTTTTAAAATTTATTTACTGTTTATAGAATATATATTGTCTTAACCTTACCTTTTATTTCTGCTTTGTATTTAAAGTTCATTTCTGTTGATAATGGATAGTTAGTGCTTACTGTTTTAGGTCAGATAATCTATTGGAATGTTTAATGTAGTTAATGTAATTATTGATACTACATTTGGATTTATTATGTGCCACTTTGCTATCTGCGTTAGTTTCCTTTGTGTTCTTACTTTCTACCTTCTTTGGTGTTGAATATTTTTGTTGGTCATTTTAATTCTGTATTAGCTTTATTTTTGTTAATTGCTCTGGGAACCACAATGTGAAACTTTTAACTTTTATATGATATAAAAGTTATATCTTTATACTTTCTCATCCTTTGCACTATTGTATCATATATGATGCATATACATATATACTTTATAAACCTAAGAATATCATTAAAGTTTTTTTTAAAGTCCTGCCTTTAAAAAATTAGGAAAATAATAAATATACCAGATATAGCTATATATCTATCAACTTACCTATTATTCCTAGCTATTTTTTTAATCTATTCATTATTTTCTGTATATCCATGTTTTCACTCTGTTATTTCAGTTTCCCCTTATCATTCCTTAAATGCAAGTCTATTAGTAGTTAATTCTTTCACTCTTAAAATTTATTTGAAAATATCTTTGACCTTGAATTTTGCTAATAACTTTAATCTTAGAAGACATTTTTTTTTTTCCTCTACAATTTGAATGTTATGTCCTTTCTACTGTAGCTTGACTTTGTGCTAAGGAGAAATAAACTGTTAGTAATATTTTTGTTCTCCCTTGTTGTAATGTCTATACTTATTGCAATCAAGGGTTTCCTCATTATCTTTGCCTCTTTTTATTTGGAGCCCCATAAACCTTTTCTAGCTATCAGTTAATGATTTTAACCAAAGTTGGGAAGTTTTTCATTATTCTTCATATATTTCTTTTTTTTTTCTCTCTCTCTCTCTATATATATTGTGTTTGACTTCAGTTATATAACCTTATGAGTTTCTCTAGAAAGTATGCTTGGGATCATGCTTACACAGTTGAAATACCACAATTTTATAAAGAAAAATTTAGTTTTTAAACACACACATACAAAACAGTGGATTTACAGTGGAAAATATTAATGTTACCTGTGGTCTTTTCCTGTTTTTACAAAATTTGTTTGTAGGTGCATTTCCTCCCTCTGCTGTTTATGCACGAAGAGACTTGCTACAGCGATCCACCCATATTGCTACCAAGACTTTCCAAGCTTTACGTATATTTGTGAACAATGAACTCAATGAGCTCTACACGGGACTGAAGACAGCTCAGAAGTTTCTGAGACCTGGTGGCCGTCTTGTAGCCCTCTCCTTCCACTCACTTGAGGATCGCATTGTCAAACGTTTCTTGCTTGGAATAAGCATGACGGAAAGGTTTAACCTAAATGCTAGGCAGAAAGTGATAAAAAAATCACAACTGGATTCAGGTCATGAAAACAAGGAAGAGCCCTCTAAGGGAAAAGGTCCTTTAATGTGGGAACTGATACACAAGAAGGTGCTTACTCCAAATGATCAGGATGTACAGGATAACCCCAGAGGGCGTTCAGCCAAGCTTAGAGCAGCTATCAAATTAAGGGAATGAAAATTTTAGTCTTCTGAGCCTTCAAGTTGACCCTTTCTATTTCTCATTTTTTTTTTCATGTGATATTCCTAAAAATTTTAAATGAAAGTATGTGGGACATACATACATACTATATATGTTTGGAAATTGAGTATTTAGCATTTTTTTCTCAAATAGAAATTTCACCAAGTTCAACTCAAGGACAGCAGGATGTCAAAACTGGAAAAATATGTTTACCTTACCATTATATTTGACTTTTGAAATCCAGTGCTTTCTCTAGGCAGGAAATTAAAATTACATATGTATATTTATCTAAATATATGAATTCAAGCTGTCAAAAAAAGAGAGATTATAATTATATTTGTGTGTCCTAAATTCTGAATTAAGATATTCGGATTTACAACAGAATTTTTGTTGCTTGGATAATTAATAATGATCATGGCATGAATTTTAATTTTCCTACTTGGAAATAAATAATTACTACTATAGATTTTTTCAGTATAGGTATTAGGTAAATTTAAAATTTTCAAGTGTCATTTTAAAAATTCATCATATTGATAAATTTCATTGTTTAAAGAGTTTATTCAGTATGTTATGTGCCATGTTTTCATGTATTACACAGTAACATGTAGAATTCTTCTAATAGTGCTCATAGAATATATTTCACAAAACTTATTTTAATGTGATTTGTGTTTAATAATAGGTCAGATACCTTTGATAAACAACATGATCTCTGATTATTTGAGACCAGCATCTTTTAATTGAAATATTCAAGTTAAAGCAACTGTTTCTATTTGAAATTAAAAAAAAAAAAAAAAAAGATAGCCTCCCTGGTGGCCTAAGGTTAAGTTTCTGCACTATCACCACAAAAATCCCACCTTGGCCAACTGAGTTCAATCTGTAGCCAGGGAGCTCACCACATAGATTGTAGTAGACCTTCTCTGTCTTGCCTACTGCTCCCATCAACAGTGCATTTCAGTTATCTGTTTGTTCTGCTCCCCACTCTGTCTCTGGTGAGTCACCTCAGTCCCCAAATCTCTGGCTACAACCCAGTACTATATGATATATCCAAAATCTTAAAAACACTGCACACCTAATGTTTTTACATGCAGATAATAACTGTAGTTGTAAAAAGTTAGTCAAGAAAACTACACTTGGTAAAGAATTGCTTAACAAATTGATGTGATTGATTTATAATTCACATACCAACTTTTTATACATAAATATGCACTTCTAATTTATTCAGATTTACTAATTTGGCAAGTGCTGAAGTGAGCATTAGAAGAAGAAAGTACATAAAATATACATAGCCAGGTATCTATTTCATGGAGTTTATTATCTAATGGAGGGGAGTGACAATGGTAAATATTTACAAAAATCAATATAAAGTGGAATCAGCAGTAAATTGTACAAGGTACTCTGAAAACATCAAACAGGACTTTTATGCAGTCAAGAAAACCAGGTGCTTGGATTACAACCTGAGGATGAATGATTCAAGTGTTCATGGGCATGTTCATTAAACATTCATGAAAATTATTGTTTTCTTAAGTAGTTTCTTAAGTTTTGGAAATCATACTTAAACTATTAATTTATTTAGCAAGTGATTTTGTTTAAATACAGGAAAAACTCATCTTTCCTGTTATGACTGTAAATTCTCAATTGGTGAATACAAATGAATGAAATAGGAACATAATTATATGAACACAAAGATAAGAACTAAACACTTGGATTTACCTTAGATTCACTTTACAATATTAATATTTAACTATAGTGACAACATTAATATTTAACTGTAGTGCCAAACACATGTCCCCCTTTTACTTTAAAGTCTTTAATCAGATCAGAACAATTCTGCAGTTTTTCATCAGAGTTACATACAAACTGTCATCTCTGTGTTGGGTATTGGCTAATATTTCTCCACAGTCCATATCCTTCCCAGAACCTCAAAATGGGACCTTATTTGGAGATACGATCATTGCAGAATGTAAGTAGTTAAAATGAGGTTGTACTGGAACACAACAAACTGAATGCAGTATATATGTTGCCCTCAATGAAAAGCGAAGAGATCAGCACAGAGTGTAAAACCACATGAAGACAGAGGTAACAATTGGAGTGATACATCTGCAAACTGGGACCCTACTAGATGCTAAGCCAGAACAAGGAATAGAATCTCCTTCAGTCTTATACTGGGGATTCAGACTTCCAGCCTCCAGGACAGTGGAAGACTACTTTTTGCTGTTTTAAACCACCCAATATGTGATGATTTCTTATGGCAGCCCTAAGAAACTAATAATTTGACAGAAAAAAAAAATCATGAATAAAATGCATAAAAACATTCCTTAACCAACACAAAATTGGTTTCAAACTGGTGTAGTGTAAACATGTACCACTTAGAAATGTTATTACTGAACTTTATTAATGTTACATTATTTTTACAATGAGACAATCCACAATCATTTTTGCTCATTTCTTAATTTTTGTGTAATAAAATATGAGTTCAAACAATACATATAGAAAAAAACAATTGAAAGTACATTGCTTTGCAAATAAAATGCCATAAATATAAACCTATTGTCTTACATTTATGGATTTCTTTATTATTTTCATTGTCTTGTTAGAACACTGTATATTTATTAAATAATACATCATTCTTTAACTGTGGTAACAATAAGATTCTCCCCACCAGGTTTCACCACTATAGGCGAGTGTCACCAAATCACTCATAGTCTGCCACCATTGTCCACTGTGCTTCCTTCCTTCCTTGTTTCTGGCCTTCTCCCCATCCCCCTTTTGGATGCCTCAACTCTGTAGCCAGTTTTCAAGAGTTATCTTTTAAGGTTGTCTTTCTCTGGTTATTACTATATTGAAGATAGTAGGGATACAACTTTTTTTTTCCTGACTTGTTTCACTTATCATTATCTCTTATTCCATCAACATTGCTGAAATAGCATGAGTTTACCTTTTTAAATCACTGATTAGTATTTCATTGTATATATGTTCTAGATCCCATTATCTGGGACACTTAGTTTTTTTCCTGTATTTTGCTATTATGAATAGTGCTGCTATGAACATAGGGGTGCAGGTTTCCTTTCAAATCAATGTTTTTGTGTTTTTGGAATAGATACCTACAAGTGGAATTGCTGAGTCATATGGCACATCTATTTTTATTTTTATTTTTTTTAAAGATTTATTCATACAGAACTGGGGTACAGGCCAGAGATGCGGAGGGTGAGAGGATTCACCAGAGACAGAGGAGGGAGCAGAACAGGCAGATCAACGAAGTACACTGCTGAGGGGAGCAGCATGCAGGCCAGGAGAGGTCTGCCTCACCATGTGGATCTCCTCGGGGCAGGTGGGGATCGAACTCATGTGGGAGTGGCTTAAGCTTCTTAGTGTAGTGCTTTAACTCGCTGCGCCACCAGAGGGGGCCTGGCACATCTACTTTTAACCTTTTGAGAAACATCCACACACTCTAGAGCTCTGCATTGACTGATTTCAACCAACCCATTTTGTATTGTATCAGAGTCATACAGTATTAAATCCTAACAGGTTTAGTTTGTAACTTACTAAGAAATGAAATTTAATAACTGAACACTATTTTTCAGAGCATTTCTTTTGTTTTAAATTTTATACATTGTATACTATATAATATTTAATTTTTGTAAGGGTTTTTTGAGACATTAATCATATCTATCTTTTCTATTTCACATAACATCTATGATAGGTACTTAAATTCATTTATATTGCACTACTTACTGTGTTACAACCAGTAATTTTTAAGAGACTACAGTGCAACATACAAAACTAGATTTTTATTTTTTTAAAGATTTATTTATTCATACATACAAGAGCTGGGATGTAGGCCAAAGTTGTGATGTGGGGAGGATGGGTAGACAATGAGAATATTCATCAGACAGAGTAGGTAAGAGAACAGGCAAATATATTGAAATACACTGCTGAGAGGAACAGTTGACAAGACAGGAAAGGCCTGCTGTGCCATGTGGGTTAGATCTCTGGTCAGCTGGGGATGAAGCTCTTGCTGTAGTGGCTGGCAGTAACATGATAGCTCTGTGTCTTAACCTCTGTACCACCACGGATACCCTAACTACATTTTTAAAGTGGTATCTCAAAAATTCACTAGCAAATATTTGAGATTATAGTTTATTTAGTCTTCAAATACTATATATCTTCAGAGTCTACAAAACACTTTATATTTTTTTTTTGTTTTTGCATAAGCAGCAGAGGTGATGATAAATCTACTGTACACATTTTAAAAATAATTTTAATTTCATTTGAAATATCTCACCCAAGAAGTTTGAGACATCTATTAATGAAAACTCAAAATGTAAAAGAAATATAAAAATATGGCCCTCCCTGGTGGCGCAGCGGGTTAAAGCACAGCTCTGAGAAGCTAAAGCCACTTCCGCATGAGTTCGACCCCCACCTGCCCCTGAGGAGATCCACATGGCATGGCAGACCTCTCCTGGCCCACCTGCTGCTCCCCTCAGCAGTGTGCTTCGTTGATCTGCCTGTTCTGTTCCCCACTCTGTGTCTGGTGAGGCCTGTCACTGCCCCTGAATCTCTGGCCTGTACCCCAGTTCTGTATGCACAAATAAATAAAAAAAAATCTTAAAAAAAATATCAGCACTCTCATTTGGTCAATAGAAGGTAAGTATATATCTTCTATTAACATATGAGAATATATTAATAGAATATATGTATATATTAATATATACAGATTAATATATGAAAATATATTAATGTACATATTAATATATGAAAATATGCTAAATGCTGACCATTTAGGAAGAAATTTAAAACACCTTTCAATTCTCTCCTTTTTATGATCCTTCCCTTCCCTTTTATATGTTCACATTGCTATCTGAATTTTTTTATGTCAACTGACATGACAATAATTTATGTTTCAAATTTAGTCTGCAAAAAGAGATGTTAAACATTATCAGCTTGTACTCTTGGAAACTAAGCCCTGCATGTTAGAATCTTTGTAATGGATTAGAATGAACTTAAATTAACCCCAATTAAAACTCTATAGTGTTTATATTAACATAGGGATTTTCTTATTGAGTGTTTTGATTACTGCAGTAGCCTATAGACCTAATAAATATTTTTGTGTGTAAGCTACATGTTGTAACACAAAGGGATTAAGTGTTAAAACATAAAAGAAATTTTGTGAGATGCCTGATAAATACAAATTTAAAGACAAATTCTCATCAGAGATGTTTTTCTCAAAACTACAATGCCATATGTTCAATGTCGAATGAAGCATGGTTTGTAAAAATCAGTATCATTCTAAAAAGGCTGTATTATATAACAAGTATAACTATTTTTATATTATTTTCTCAAATTTCATCTGTTTATAGCTACTATTTCCAACTAATGTTTAGTAACACACAGCATGATCTACAGAAATACTAAAGTTTAAATATAA